TATATTAATTAATATATTTATCTTTGATATTTTTTTTGTCCACTGGAACAAATGAAAAAATTAATACATAAATTCTATGATTGACAGCATCCTATAATCTCAGGTCATAACTCAAACTTTCCTCTGTTTTAGGCCTCATATTTGCTTTCAACCAAACATCTGCAACAAGAAAAACTTCCTAAAAAAAACAAAATATCCCAGGTCTCAAGAGTTTGCACTTATTTCTAAACACACTGCATCCCTTCAACCTTCTTCAAGTATAGAATTACTCAACTGCTTTAAAACTTGTAAAATGAGAAAGATGTCAAGAAGAATGACTACCAAGTTCTTTATATTGTTTTGAAGTTTGGTTATTCCCATTTACAAGGGTTTACAGCTTCAGGACGTATATGTTTTCAAAGCTGAGATAAATATCGATTTTTCAAGACCCTACTTGGAAGGTGTGTGTGTATATATATATTCATAGTCCTGCTTATACTTCGAGAAGATTGAAATTGCATCGTTTTTTTTGTCATTTTACACCGGTAGTAATAAATGGAAGTCCTAGCAGTGTAAAGTAGATGGTTTAGATTTCTACACACACACTGCAAAAACAAAAGTTTACACACTTTTTGAATTATTGTTGATAAAACTAACTAGATAAATATTAAATAACATAACTGTACATTATTTACTGATAAAAACTTATTGAAATAGGCTCAAAATTATAATTTTGTATGTAGTGGTGTAATAATGCACTTGAATTGACACTATTTAACACTGTTACTGAGAGAGTTAAATATGCATTTTTCACTATTAAAATAATAATAAAAATAGCAACATTAAATACTTCACCTTTCCACAGCCAGGAACATCCACACCTTCAATTGGCCTAGGTATTTCTACACTCTTTACTACACCATATTTGTTACATTCTTCTTTGATATCCTCCAAAATATCTGCAAATATAATTCATCTCTCGTGAATAAACAAACCATGTTACAAACACGGGAAAATCTGTTCTCCATGAAACTTCATTTCTAACCCAACTTACAAATCAAAGCATGTTACTATGAAACATGTAAGTGTATAATATTCTACATTAGAAGTAAATATTACAACCTGTTTACCACCAGCTAAGCCTTTAACCTCTTACAGCAACTTCCATATGTGTAAGTATAATATTTTACATAGAAGTAAATATTACAACCTGTTTACCACCATCTAAGCCTTTAGCCCTACACATATGGAAGTTGCCCCATTCCATATGTCATGATCTTGATAATAAAGTATTATTCAAAATAACAAAAGCAATCATTCTAGAAAAAGAAGGATTATTCATATTTCATATTTTATTTTGCTAAGTGGTGATTACATGGTCATTCAAATGGACTGAACATGTATAGTGTTATTGTAGAAAAAATAACATATAAAATATCAAGATTTACTGAAAAAACTTTTGATATTCATTTAGGAAGTTCTTAAAGGTTACGCAAATGAAGTTTGAAAACTGTAAGATGAGAAAAGTATTTTTAATCTTAACATAATAACCACTTTGCACTAAGACCAGTCTGAGTGAGGCTTTGATTCCATAAATTCACAGACAAATCTTCAGTAAAATATCTAAGTAAAAAGCCCAATTTTCTGTGCACAAAATACTTGTCAAATTTCCTGGAGATACACTTACTACATTAAGTTATAATGTATATAGAGGTTTAAAGAGAGTGAATCAGTGAGCTTCTGAAGTAATATGGCCAATTCTCTAACTCCTTAACACTGCTTACATGTGCTGCTAAAGCTTCTTTTTAGAGCAATCCTATAAATGTTCAATCAGATTCAAATCCAGTAAGCATGCTGCCCAGTTCAATTGTCTTGATAATCTCTTCTTCTAGCTGAGTGCAGTGGTGGGAGGAATGCATCTCTATACTATCTTATTCACAGTGTCATGTCTCAATATAAATATTAGTATGACCACCAATACCAATTCCTACCCAAAACAGTAAGTCTTTCCTCAATGATATTACAGTTGGATCTGGTATCAGCCAGCCATATTCCAGATGGATACATTTCTTGCATCCAGCTGCAGTAGGAAGTATGATTTGTCTGTGAACAAGATATTAGCCTACATATCATTTGACCAATCTACACAAATTAAAAATGGCTGCTTTGTGACAATGGCATCTGACAAGGTCAACCCTACTTTTGACCATTTGTGTACTGTCTTATTGTCTAGCTTCTGCATGGAAATGTTGATTCAGTTGAAGTGCCAAGGTCCATTGGTTAAAATGAGTCCATAATGCCAAATAACAATTGTCTCAGGAGGCTTTCAACTACCATCCACCCTATCCAAAAACCAACAAATTATATATGAAAACAAGTCCACACCCTTCTAACCACACTTTGAGAGTAAACGGTTGTGTGACCAGTTTGTAGACAACCTATTGCTTCCCACATCAAAATATTAAAATGTATTTATGTATTTCTTCAGTTTCTGGAATGTTTTAGTGTCAATATGGAAGTCTTTCAACACTACTATTGTTCAAACTGCTAATAACACAGCACTACCCTCACTGAAATGAGCATATCAGACATGGCCAGTCACCTGATGTTTCTTCTGCATAAAAATTAACTTCGATTGCCAGTGACATTGATTATGTATTTATCCTTTTCATTGCTACTATAAAAAAAACTCTGAATATCCCTTACTTGTTTTAAGCAGTACATTTAATGTTTAAAAGATAAATCATAAAGGTTTTTAGTAATAAAAAAACATAAACACACCACTTACCCTCATATTCTTCTTCATCTTGAAGTTCTTCTGGCATTACCATGTTCATGAGACACAACACTTCAGTTGGAGGCCCTGCCCCCCCAAACAAAGTCAACCCTGGTACCTGAATCTGAACAGGAGCCTGGAAAACAACAAATAATTCTACAACACTAATTTTCTTCAAATGTCTTTTGGATCTAGGTAGGTAAGTAAAAAAAAAAGTATAATGGACCATTTAAAGCAAAGTGTTTGATTATTTGTACTGAAGCTATAAAACATGCATCTTAGAAACAAACATATACTATGAAACAAAAAAATGTTTATGACCCAGAGCTGAAGAAATGGTAAATGAAATGCACTGACTGACTTGTTATTAATAACGTACATATTATTTCTGCTCTTCTATACCAGATTCAAGGTATAACTTAATCACATTACCACAGTTTTTAGTTTCAATTAAATTCTCTATCTGTCAAGGTTAAACACAAAAATCATGAACAGAATCTAGACAACACACTGTTACCTGTACAAAATTTATTAGCAAAAATCCACAAATGATACACTTTTAAATAATCTGTCTAGAGGGCAGCATGCCAGCTTTAACATGCATTCTCACATATCCCTAAAACATTCTGTACTATTTAGATGTTAAATACATATACCAAAATACAGTAATACATAGATAAAACTACACTTACAGCCATAGTACTGTTCTTGGCTCCAACACTGGCTCTCTGTACAATCAACTTCTTATCCCCAAGCTGCATCCCATTTAACCCAGCTATTGCCTAAAACAGTGTTTTTATGAACATCTTGCAACACACAAATTTACCATTAAAGAAAGACTTAAGTATCACATAAAAATGGTAATAAATCTAGACTTGTTATAAATACATTGACATGATCTTACACCTACCAATACACTATTTATTTCAGGATGATTAAAACCTAACCACACACACATATAGAAAAAATGATCAAAGCCTGTCTTACCACAAACTGGTTAGTTTATAATGATGCATTTTTATTAGTTTGACCTAAGAATGAATCTTATAAACAGACATACTTACAACTATCGGTTCAGTGAGTTTTTTTGTGTAGAAAAAAAAATATTTTGGTTTAATGATTCTGTCATAATTGATATACTTTGTGAAATATCCTACATGAAAAATAGAAATAACACTGATTTTTGAAATTAAACTGTTTTAATACAGGGTGATAACCTTTTTAAAGACCTTGGATGTATCACTTTAACTACCAGAAAACCTTGTGGACAAAGTAGAAATAATCTCCAAAAATTCAAATTATGTGTTAGTTGTGTTTAGGGTAAAGAAAGTTAAACATACAATTTACTATTACATGATATTAACTCTTTCATGACAGGCTCGGTACAATATACATGAGTTAAGTATTTATGCTATAACTTTTAATGCAATAAGTGTATCTTCATAAAATTTGGTAGACTTTTAGTAAAGATTACAAGTCTTTCGTACACAAGAAATCAGATTTTTTAATTAAGTATTTTTATTATAGATTTGTTTGTGAAAATATTGAGTCTGTTTTGTTACCAATCCAAGTGCAAAGTGATTTTCATGTTATAACTAAAATGCTGTTGTTCATCCCCAAAATCTCAGAGATTATTTGTGTAATCTCTAAACCTAAATACATTTCAAACGTTGTTTTCAGTAAAACTTTATATTTTTTCTGTTATTTTGTCTACCCTAACTCTATGGATCTGTCAATTTGACCAGCCTCATAACCACCATAAAAAATTATGAAATAAATTTAAATCTTGCTTTCTCGTTCTAGAATGACTACAGATTATAACACTATAACAAAAATATTTAGTCTAAATAGCTTAAATCACATAACATTATATATTTATTACTTTTATTATATTGACCTTTCAGCCATGTCTGGCTAACAATACAGAAGTTACAATGACATGGCACAAGTGTACTCGTGATACCGTATCCAATAATATAAAACTGACCTTTCATCTTTACAAAATGACCTGTTTTGGCTGTGTTTTAGTGGACTAGTATTTTGAAAAATACAGTCACATTTCAATTATTATATATGTATATACATTAATACTATTTACAAATAACTTCTTTTCTTCATAGAAGAGTAAATAAAGAAGTAAAGCAAACAATTATCTCTTGTAGTTACGGCCTTTGTACTCGTTTGCTGCTTGTTGTAGGTTGCTAAGCCTTATGAAATTTCCCACATGGAGGATGTTAAAAGAAAATTTTTTTAGATTTTATATATATACATTTTGAATAAATGAAAAAATCATAAATTACTATATTGATACCATAGAATTCCACTACAATTTATCAAACGTATAACTAAGCTGTATTTGGGTCTAAAAAAATATGAAATTTCGAACTCACTAAAGACTTACCTTATCGTTTGAAATCTTGTGTGAAAAGAATAAAATTAACATAATAACATGTCAAAATGACTGAGAAAACCACTAGGGGGACATTCTGAGCTTTTGATTGGTTATTTATGTCATATATAGAAATGTATATAAGGAAGCATTTCCAAAAATGGAAAGAGGTGGGTGGGGGACCACAGTGTTTGATTCAGTTCATGAGCAATATCTTAGCAAATAGAAAAGATAAGATATTCTTATTTTATATTATAGCTTGTCAGTATTGGTATTTGACTTCCTAATTCGACATCACAAACCCCTAATTTGAATCAGTGCTGCATTCAACATACCATGTGACACACAAAAAATCAATGTTTATCTGTTTTATAATATTTACTTTTAAATTAAGAAATTAACTAACATAAAATATTCAAATATGAATTATAATCTCCAATCTGACACCAAACTTATTGAGATAAATTCATAAAATAGTAGTTAAATAAAATTTTTAATGCAAGTCAACAAACACGATGACATGACGATAGGGTTAAAACAGAAACCTATTGGTTAGTTATTTAAACACCAATTTTCTCATGTCAGAAAACAGCTACTGGAATTTATCATAAGAACTGTTCTTCCAAGAACTAGGATAGTGGTGTGTTAATATACATTACTTACCAGTTTGATTATTATTTTTGAGCAACATTTTTATTTGCATTTTACTACAAGTTGGACATCTTAAACAATTGCTATTAAATATTTCCTGAATTATATTTTAGAAAGATAACAGATGGCACCAGCTAATAATACTAAAGCAGAGCATGAACCTATAATATCAATAACCCCAATACAAATACGCAATTTCAATAACTCCCAATACAGATACACAATTTCAATTTTGGGTTAAAGCTTCATGAAAGCTTTGGAGTAATTAACTTAGGAAACCATCTATGACATTAATTTCATGTACATTTATACTAAGGTTGACTGACCGACTGCCAACAGTTGATGGAACAATATTTTAGTGAAATTGTTCTAATGCTTTAATACTGCAATATGCTTTAAAAGTCAATTTGAAACAAGCTTGAGTTTCTGTTTCAAAAAGTGTAATTATTAAAATAGGCCCTAGAGAAACTTAATAATTTTTTAGTCGTACTTAACATTTCCAGTCAAATTTGACGACTGTATTTAATATGATAATGAAACATTATCGAAAACTAAAAAAATTTCTTATGAAAACATTAGTACCAAATTTATGTCTATCTGATAATGAAATTTGTATGTAGGTTAGAAAAGAAAGAATCAGAAGTATAAACATGATTCTTCCCAACCACCTACATTGTGTTAATGTTGCACAATCAGTTTTCTCAGTACAAACAGTTCAAGTCAAGACTGACAATAAAAACTATGTGCAATCATGTTTTATCCACAAAAAGCTAAAAACACTTAAATGAAATATTACACAACTCATAGCAAGTTTGAGCTATCTTACTGCTGTTTCTCTCTTTGTTCTTGATTGTACATCAATATATGAACATTTTGAAACTTATCAAACATGATGATGTGACCCCTTTCTGATTAAAGGGGGTGAAATTGGTGTCCCTAAAACTGTACTTTAAGCTCCAGCTTGAAATGGTTATTTTAAAACTCTTGAAAACTTCTAGTTATTTATTATTGTGTTTAAGTTTAAGAATAAACAATTTTAATAACTAATTTACAGCTATGATGAAAAGATTGCAATATCAGTGACAATTTTTTTTTTCAAAAACTGTGCATTTTTTTTCACAAATTTTGAAAAATTATTTGTCATGTATCCCCATACATTTTCTCTAAAATCATAATTAAAATCTTGAGATTTTAAACTTTCTTTTGTTTAAGTTTTACTAATATTTGTTTTGAATAAAATATTAAAGAAAATTAAACCTTTAACCGAAAATTGTCAATTTTTAACCTCCTTTCAGAAAGATTTTATTCAGGTAGTGTAAATAAAAAAATTTCCTGTGCAATGAACGACTTGTCAAAAGATGAAAAAAACTGAAAATGTGTAAAATTAAAAGAAACAAGAAGTTTACTTTTAGTGAAAATAGTTTAAAACAGTGAATTTTTGAAGCTGGTGATGTCAAGAACTGTAATATTTCAACTATCTGCACATTTTTTTATCATAACTTAATTGTTTCTAAAGTTGATGAAATCACAGATATGACATCTGAAACTTTGGAATATTTTCTTTCTCACAATTCCTTGTCTATAAAAACTCCCCATCTTCCTTATATGGAATGGAAATTTCAAAAACTTTTTGTTAGTACATCATGAGACTTGTTATATGCTATGTTCAAATTACTGTAAGATATTAATGATTTTGTTCAAGTATTTACTTTGGCAGATCAATTTCTGCATACAAAAACATCTTCTATGGTAATATAACACCTAATGAAGAAGATAATCTTTTGTAGTCCACAAAAGGGAAAAAAGCATACTGACCAGACACCTAAGTGTGTGCTCTAGGCTATACTATTTGAAACAGTAGTAAAGGACAAAGGTAAATTTTATATACAATAAGTTCTTCCTGTACAATAAGACCTATGCTACTTTTTATAAGTGCTTCTTGGAATGAAATAGATACAAAAAACAGATGTGTGCAAAGATATAAAACTTATCTAAATGGTGGATGAACGTCTCTTTACTAGACAATTAATCATTAATCAATTTGTAATAAAGAATATTTTAGACAGATACAGATGAACCTTCATTAACCAAATCAGTATAACCTTTATGGCAATCATGTAAGAGACATAGATTGTAGGCTAGCAGTTATGGGCATACTGTGTAACAGCATAGTATATTATTATATTAAGTTTTGGTTTTTATTTCATTGTAATTTGTAAATTTACCAAAAAAAAAATCAAACTTAGAGTTAAAAATGTCTCATTGTTATTGTGATGTATGATTGAACTGTCAGTATTTTTAGATTTGGAGACTTTTGTGAGTTATCAATTTTGATTAATGAAAGGTCAGAGGTGGCATAATATCATACATAGCTAGCAAAAGGGTTAATATTAAATATGTATTAAAGCATAAGACATCAAACTATATTTCAAAATTAAACAAAGTTTAACCTTATTTCAATGTCCAAAATTAGAATCATTTCAGTAGCTCAGGGAAATCTTGTTTATGTTGGCAGATACAGCAAAGTATTGTACCACACATGCAGTTTTTACATTTTAATACCAATGCTAACAACAAATTTTAGCTTTCATACTGCATTTATTTCCCAAAGAACATTTTTGTACTACATTGTAACATACATGCAGTTAACACTTTTAATGTACTGACAAGATTCCATATACTGATGATATTCTAAGTAAGTTTTTCAATAGGATATATAATGCATGTACTATATCTACCTACAAACAATCTTTCAACCCATTCTGCTCGGGCATCATTTACTGTGCATGTCACAAGGTTTCAGTGACTTACATTCAAAGTTTATTAAACTACTTTTTGTTTATGTTATACCAATTAGTATAGCATAAAATCATAACTAATAATCCATATTTCAATCGTATATAAGTTTAAAGTTTGTAATTTTATAAGGCAATATTCAAAAAATCCTAAATTTCTCCTAGTGTGAGAAATGTGACATTTTCTATAGCCATCCCCTCTTCCCTATTTTATTCACAATCCCTCCAATAAATATGAAATTTAATGTAAATTACTCACTATAAAATCATCATTGCTCAGATAAACCATAATTTTTATAGCCTTCAATTTTGTTTGGTTACAGAGCCATCAAATAGAAAATCAGACTCCTCTTGCTTGCCACACCCACCTGCCACATCCTCTCTTTCAGGATTTGTTAATAGTTCTCTCTTATGTTTAATTCTATATTACCTATAACCAATAGAAAGCCAATGTGTTCATCTATCAAATGATGTATTATATTACATTGTTTTCTGAATGGAGAATTGTTAATTTCACTGTTAGTACAAGCTTCATTCCCACAGGAAATATAATGACTAGCTTGGATGGATTTGTAACCGTTCTTTTTGCATAGTTAGAAAGCCAGACAAATTGTGATTAGTTAAGGGGAATTGTTTGCTTTTTGCATGTTATTATTCTATGTTCTTTGGTGAATTATTTAATTACATAAAAATTATTTAGTGCATTACTACCATTAGTATAAAAAAGTAGGATTAAATATCGTCAATAGCAAAAAAAAAAGAAGATATAGGTAAGTACTTTATTCCTTGCTTTTCATGTTTATTCTTTATTATTATAAAAGTAACTAAAATGTAAAAATAGGGATCTCTTTAGGTTAGATTAGGTAAAATAAACAACAATATAATAAAAATGTTTCACGGGACACCCATGCGAGCAGCTCGAGGGTAACGTAATTTGATAGCATAACACGAGGTCCACGTTCCTCAAATGATTTATGAATAGTAATTAGACATGGGTCAAAGCACAATAAAACAATAAAATTTACGTATAAATAGATATATACCGTTACGAGTTTAGAGCTACTTAGGATAAATGAATGTAGTTTCATGTTACAATTTGAAGTTATTCTAGCAAGAAAAAAGGGTAATTTAGATAATTTTAATTGTTTTTGGTGGTTACAAGGTCAGTCAAATTGACCAATCTTGTATAGAGTTAGGGTAGAGAAAATAACAGATAAAATATAGTTTTACTGAAAACAAACATTTGAAATGTATTTAGGAGGTTTTAGAGGTTTGCACACAGACTATTCAAAACAAATACTCGATATATTCATGAACACATCTTTTTTCTTGTTTTTTTTAAAATACTTCAGTAAAAAATATGACTTCTTGTATGTGAAAGACTTATGTTTACTGAAAGACTGCCAAATTTTGTGAAGATATACATACTATATTAAAAGTTAGTAGTATCAAATCTATAAAAACTTTAAATGAGTACAAAGAAGTCACGTGGTCGGTCAAATCGACCAAGCCTGTGTGTAGAGTACATAAAGAGAGTATTTTTAAACTTTCTAAGTTCATTTTTTTGTCTCCTCACATACAATGAGAAAAAATAATTTCAAAATATATTAAAATATTGGTAGAATAAACCCATGAAAGAGGTTTCTGATAATAATAAAACTAAAGTAAGACTGAAGTTCCTACTCAACCTTATAAAAACAAAATACTTATTATGTGTATAAGGGAATAATAAACAAATCAACACACTTTAAAATACACCATACAGTAATTTTATGACATAAAATAAAGTGAACTAATCCCCTCTGAATGAATCATCTAAAAAAGGAATATATCTAAACAATAACAAACAGATTCTCAAACCTGGTCAGTGATGCCAATATCCAGGTATTCACAAAAAGCATATCCTTTAGAAAGACCTGTAGCACTATCTTTAACAAGGTTGAAAGCTCTTAACTGTCCAAATGACATCAACAATTCTCGGATCTGAAATTTTTTTAACAACACATTAAAGCACCAGTTACTTGAAACAGAAAGTGTTACTACATATTGAAGTATAATAACTGTAAAGGACAAAAATCAGGCTGAAGCATGGTTTATAGTTCTTGTAAATATTTGTAAAATAAACTTATTTCTACACCCACAATAAAATGCAAAAACAACCACTTAAAACATCATTTGTAATCAAAACAACTAAAAATTTCTGACAAGAATAATGCAGTTTCATTCATGATAGGTGGGACCACCCAAACTTTCAACAATTTCCAAAGTGTACAGAGCACTGTTTCTCGGGACTTCCACCCACTAGAAGTACTACAACTGGTGAATATATGTTGATTCCACTGATAGAAGAAAAAAATATATATATTTCTAATTTTAAAATCAAATTAAAAAAATAATAAGTTGCACAGAATTGATACATGTTAAAAACTGATCCACAAACATAGTAAAGTCCTTCATTTCAAGTGAAATGCTTAATGGTCATTTAAAGTTATTTTCTTAAATGCAAAACATTGTTTCAATTTTTGAGGTATTAATTATGTTCATTTTATTTTCAGAGTTAAATTATTACAAAACAGTGTTCTACTAATAATCAGACTATTTTGGAAATTGCTAAAACTTTTTGATGACTAGTTAAAACTAAACACATTTTTAAACACAAAACTGATTCAAATAATAGAAGTTTTTACAAATACACGATTCAATCTGCTTCAACTTTCATTAGTCAGGATATACAGTAAATTCATACAGATAGGGCCAGATTAAGGACATTTTGGCCTGAAGCAAAATTTTGTAGGAAGGACCTCAGAAGAGAATTTCATAAATAAATAAAATACAGTTCAATACTACTTATTAACTACACTTTGAGCAACACATAAACAGAAAAGATGGGTAGATAATATATAAAGTATTACTTCTAATATTCATGATAAATACAAATTGATCTCAACAAATGTAAAGTAATGACAATGAATTGTTCTGTTAAATGGTCAAGCAAATATTTATGAAAGATCAAGCTATAAGAACATGCTAATGAAAAACTATAAATTAACAGGTTTATAAGAAATGACTAAAATCACTGTTATAGTGACACAATTGAAAACATGTTTTTCAATGAGAGGTCCAGTTTTTGATTTTATTTCAATATTGTGCTGTTAAAATCATAAATAATATTCAACATTAAACTGGTACACAATTAAA